CCGGCCTGCTTACCCTCAAAACGGAGGAGCCCGCCGGCCCCACGATGTCCTCGGAGCCCGGCGCCCCAGCGGCAGTGCCGCCCCTGCACTCCCCCAAGTCGCCGGTGTGGCCCACCTTCCCCTTCCAGAGGGAGGGCAGCCGCATCTGGGAGCGGGGCAACCTCCTGCTGCGGGACCTGCCCAGCCCCCTTCCCACCAAGAGAACCAGGACCTACTCAGCGTAAGTACCTGGCGCGGGGCGAGCGGGAACAGCTCTGCCCAGCCAAGCCAGGCAGGGACTGCCTTCCCCAGCAGCACCTGCTAAACCCTTCATGCCTGGTGCACGTCGCTTATCTTTGGCCATCAGGGTGCTCAGCATCACCGCAGCCTCCTGGCTGGGGTGGGTGCCCTGTGCTCTCTCAGGGAGCACCATGTTGTCACAGCAGACCTCGGAGACGTTTCTCCCTCCCTGTCGTTCTGCAGGACGGCACGTGCCTCTGCCGGCCCCATCTTCAAGGGTGTCTGCAAGCAGTTCTCACGCTCCCAGGGCCACGGGTTCATCACCCCCGAGAACGGCACAGAGGACATTTTCGTCCACGTGTCTGAGTAAGTCTGGGGGTTGCGCGGCACTGGGACACCCTTGGGGGAGCTGTGGCATCAGCACAGGGCTAGAAACCCATGGGCCAGGGTGGGGATGTCTCCGTGGGATGGGGATGGGACTCTACTTGTCCATCACAGGTGGGTTTTCTTTCCTAAGGCACAGCTGGTGGATTGGGCGCCTTCCTCAGTGCTGGGTGGTTTGGGGTGGGGACCCAACTCTTGGCTCCAGCCTCACCACCTCTTCTCTCCTCTCCCACAGCATTGAGGGAGAGTACGTCCCCGTGGAGGGGGATGAGGTGACATACAAGATCTGCCCCATCCCTCCCAAGAACCAGAAGTTCCAGGCGGTGGAGGTGGTCCTCACCAACCTGGCACCCCACACGAAGCACGAGACATGGTCTGGACAGATCATCGGCTCCTAAGGCGCCTGGGGGGGCTGCCGGCCGCTCAGCCCCATGGCACAAGCCTGCCTGCCCTCTCACGGGGGGCACGGGCGAGCCAAGGGGCCAGGAGGGCCGGGGCTGCCCCCAAACACACAGGCGTTTGCGTTCGGTGTCTTTTATAAGGTTATGGTTTCCTTTCTCCGTGTGTGTTTGTGACTGTCTGTCGAGGGGGACGGGGGAAGCAGAGCCCTCCCATCCTGCTCCCTGGCTCCGGGGGCAGCGCAGCCCCATGTCCCCTCCCTTTACCCCCAAGGTCACGGGGAGCCTGGGAACCAGTCCTGCCCCCCAACCCCCTCTGCTGCCCTGGGCTTAAGCAGGTGCTGAGAGCAGGAGGGGATTGGGGGAAGGCTGGAGGGACTCAGCTTGTCCTCCTGAACTCTGCTCTGGGAAGATGGGCCTCCTGCTTGTTCCTGGCAGCAGGGGTATGCTATGGGGCTGAGGGAAACAGGGTGGCGTGGGGCAGCATATCACTGTGCAGGGACCCATCCCCACTGCTGGCAGCTGGCAGCACCCCCGAGCCACCTCCTTCCATCAAAACATCTCAGGTCAACGGTGCCACGGAGAGGTGGGGGGGCTTACAGAAAGATAGAAGAATAATGTAGTTTTCAGGGGCAAACAGCTGCTGGCAGGGCAGCCGTGGTGCACTTGGCATCTCTGTGCCCTCTGCTGCTGCCAGGCCGATAACGCACTTTTCTTGGCTTGGTGCTGACATGGTTTTGGGGAGATGGCTGCCTTCTCCTCCCCTTGTCCCCCAGGGAGCCCCCTTCCTGCGTGCATGTGTGTGTGTGTGTGCACGTCTGTAGCTTGCTGTGGGGCCAGGTGCTGAGGGGTTTGGGTAGTCTCAGCCATGGGGCAAGCACGGCCACCTCCTCCCCAGCCCCTCAGAGTAGGCAGGGTCTTGTATACAAAGCACAAACTTCGTTTTAGGTCTTCTTCACCATCCCTTGGCCAGGTGGGCTCTGGTGGCCCTGGGAAGGACTGGGCAGAGGGCTGTGGGATAGGGACAATGTGCACTGGGCTGGGCCTGAGATGGCTCCAGGGGAATGACGCTTGTGCCAACACCCTGAAAATCATCAGTGTCTTAATGGATTTATTTTGAAGCAGGGTTGGGCACAGTGGGTGGCCAGCAGCCCCCTGAGCAGGGCAGGAGGCATCTGCTGGCTGCCCAGGCACCTGCTCAGCGGGAGCCCCCTGTGCTGCCAGTCCTCAGCCCTGGTGGACAAGGAAGTTTTCCATCTTTCTTTCTACTGCTCTTGTGGTGGAGACAGGGTCTGCCGTAAGTGGGGAGGGGAGAGGGCTGAGGCTGGTGCCACATGGGACAGCCAGGGCCTTGGGCAATCAGGAGGAACACTGCATGCTGCCCAGGCTGGCCTGGGGACTGCCCCAGGACCTCGCAGCCCGTCTCAGGGCCAACTCGCAGCCCGGCTCACCCAGGGGCTGTGGAGATGCCAGCTCAGGCCCCAGGCATCCCTGGGACAAGCAGTCAGCTTGGCCAAGGCAAACTTTGTTTGATTCTTTTTTTAATTTTTTTTTTTCTTCCCCTTTCTCTGTTGTTTATTTTTGGGAAATAAACTAAAACCCTAGACTTGGTGTTTTTACAACTCTGGTGTGGTACCCGCCTGTCTGACTGTGTGTCAACCTTTGTAACATTGGCAATAAACCATTAAAGGTGACTTTCCCATGAGCCCTGCCCATCCCAGCACTTTGTCTCTGTGTGCATGTGTTGCAGTGGGGATGATGGTGGCAGAGGACCTGGAGCACCTGGGATTTACCCAGACAGCAGGACAGACCTGCCCATTCCCACACAGCATGTCCCAGGGTGTCCCGGGATGCTCCAAGCCTCATTCAGGGGTGCAGACCCTGAGCCTGGGATGGGAGGATGCTGCCCACCAAGAGGGGTTACCAGGACCAGGGCTGGTACCCTGCTGCTGCTGCAGGGATTTCAAAGTCCATCCGGCTGCGCTTCACCCCAGCAGAGCCTGGCACAAAGCTCACACTGCTTCCAAACACTACTTGCTTTAGCTTTAATAGGGTTGATTTTATTATTTCTTGTTAATATACATATATATATGTATTTAAATATATTTCTTATTTAACAGTTGGTATCAGCCAGACAGGAGCCACCCATCTTGTACAGATACAGAACCATATGGCAAGATGGTCCCCAAAATGGGTCCCACCACATCCACTCGCTCATGCACACATAAGGAGAAACCCCCCACTCACACTGTGGGCTGCCCCTCGGAGAGAAGCATCATGGCAAAGGGGTCTTGGGGACAGGCATACTCCCTCCCCTAGGTGTAGGGCTCCCAGGCCAGTGCTGTGCCTCATCCCTGCCCACAAAAATGGGGTAGGCGGCCCAGGGTTCTTGGTGGCCCTGCTTGAGCAGGGAGGTAGGACCATATGACCTCCAGAGGTCCCTTCAACCTCACCCATTCTGTGGCTCTAAGACCTGAGGGCTATCCCAGCTACTTCTGATGCCATTCCCCCTCCTCATCCCCCCAGCACAACAGAGTCTACTGGTGGGAGGTGCCCAAGCTTGGTTGTGAGACAGAGGCAGGCATGCAGAAGGTCATCCCTGCCTCTGCCCTGCTCACCCTGCAACGCTCCCCGCCTTGAGCAAAGGACATGCTGCCATCAGGAGCAGCCTTGGACAGAGCCTGCCCTTCCCTTCAAATATGCAAGGCATCTCAGCCCCCAAGGCCACCATAGCTCCTCATGCTTTCAGGGCCTGCTCTTCACTCACTGCCAAGCTGGCTAGGGATCCTGCTGGCTTTGAATAGACTTACAGGAATATTAAATCCCCAAAACCTACACGTAACTTGATCCACAGTGAAACAGAGAAGGAGGAACCACAAACCACACGATTCCTCCATGCAGCTTGCAGTGGAGGGCCAAAACCAATGCCCTGTGAAAAGGGTACCTTGCATCCAGGCTTTCCCAACAGGTCCTCTTCTCCCATACAGAAACGTTCTCTGGGTAGAAAGAGGAATCTGTGCATTTGTTGGGGATTTCTGGATGGCAGGCAGGCAGCTGCGCGCATGCAAATGTGATACAGACCTGATGTGTTGTAGAGTTAAAGAGGTGCAGTCAGATGGAGGAGACAGACCCTGCCAGTGCTGGTCACACAGCTCCTGCACCTGTGGCCAGGCAGCAGCAGTGCCAAAGTCCACTCAGGACTCTGCCCATGGCAACATGGGAGCCCTGTCCTGCATCTCAAAGCACCAACATATCTCGCCAGTTCTGGGCCCCTCAGCTCAAGAAGGACAGGGAACTGCTCGAGAGAGTCCAGCGCAGAGCTACAACGATGATTAAGGGAGTGGAACATCTCCCTTATGAGGAAAGGCTGAGGGAGCTGGGTCTCTTTAGCTTGGAGAAAAGGAGACTGAGGGGTGGCCTCATCAATGTTTACAAATATGTAAGGGGTGAGTGTCAGGGAGATGGAGTTAGGCTTTTCTCAGTGATGACCAGTGATAGGACAAGGGGTAATGGGTGTAAATTGGAGCACAGGAGGTTCAAGGTGAATATCCGAAAAAAAATTTTTTACTGTGAGAGTGACAGAGCCCGGGAACAGGCTGCCCAGGGAGGTTGTGGAGTCTCCTTCACTGGAGACATTCAAAACCCACCTGGATGCGTTCCTGTGTGATGTACTCTAGGTGACCCTGCGCTGGCAGGGGGGTTGGACTAGATGATCTTTCGAGGTCCCTTCCAACCCCTAGGATTCTGTGATTCTAATGATTCTATGATTCTATGAACTTGTCCCCTTGGTTAAGTGGCAGCAGCCAGCTAAGAAACTTCTCTCTGCAGTCCAGCTGCTGGGTGGGAGAGCAATGGAAAGTGGCAATGGGATGAAAAGAGGAGAGGAAACAAGAGCAAGAGATGGGGCAGTGCCACACCAGCAGGGAGGTGCTGAGAAAGGCTCCCAGAGAGCAATGTGGGGCTTTTGCAGGAACCTCCAGCACCCTCCAGGTCCCCAAACACCAGACCACAGGTGCTCTGGGAAGCTATAAGCAGGACATCTCCCTGGAGGAGATCCCTGAGCTAGCACCTCTTGTTGTGCCTAGTGTTGCTGGTGCACTCACACATCCCAGCCAAAATGGCCAGCAATAAAGGGGCAATGTGAGGGAGGAGCTCAAGGGCCAAAAGGAGAGATGTGGTTTTGCAGCCCATGAAGGCTCAGAGAAAAAAGGAGGACATGTGAACTTGCGTCCCTAAAAGTGACCACATAAACCAAGCACGTGGGATGAGATGGGTTGGAAAAGCAAGCTTGGAGGGCACTGCTGAGGGAGTACCTCTGTTGGCATTAGAAATCAGGTCTGGCCTGTGTTGGCCCTCCCTGAAAATGTATCTGGCAGCACGATGGAAACCTGGGAAGGAAGGGGACTCGGTCTGTTATGAATGCCCTGGGTAAGGTTTTACACAGACACATCTGTAATGCCTCATGGAGATGCAGGTGGGAAAACTGTTGGGAATCCTTCTGCATCAATGCTCCACAAGGTGCTCTGCACACGCCAAGCACCTGAGGTGCTCCAGCTGTACCAGGCAAGGTCTGCGAAACATGGAAAATAAGTCCCCAGTATCCATTTTTTGTGTAAGCTAAAGAGAGAGTTGGTTTCTTCACACAGCTGAGCAAAGCTCAGAGTAGGAGCAGAGTAATGTTAAAACTGTCATTCCCAGGTCACCCGCAGGGACTGGCACAGTATGGCACCAAGGTGAGGGATGTGGTGATGCTCTCCATTAGGATGCACCACGCTGCAACACACTGGGGTCACAGCTGCCCCTTCCTACAGGGGCTTCCTTCCTGGAGCAAATGGCCCTCCTGGCCTCCCACTTCAGCGCAGCTCTGGTGAGAGTGCCTGGGGCCTCAGCAGCCCCACCCTCCCCAGCCAAGGTGCAAGGGGGAGAGAAAGGTGAGGCACATGTTCCCTCATCCAGAAGTGTGAAGAGAAACAGAGTGGAAAGGAAGAGGGGAAGGAGCACGGGATGGACACAGACACTCTCACCACTGGCCCTTTCAAATGCTTTCTGACCATGAAAGCATCTGCATTGCTGCCCACCATGGCATGAACTGTCCAGAGAGAAGTTTTGCTGGAGGCAAGGGGAGGGTCTGGTCCCACCAGCCTCAGACATAGATGGGGAGTGGTGAAGGGCTGCTCAGTGAGGGCCCCCTCCTGCACACCCACCTGCCACACACGTCACATCCTGACCAGCTCCAGAAAGTGGTTTCTTTTTGGTCTACCCTGAGCAGATTCCTCAAACGAAGGTGCTTTTCCTGGAGTGGGGAGAGGGTTGGGCTGGGGCAGGGCTGTGGGAAACCTGGCAGTCAGCACTCGTTTGCTCTCTCTGGAAAGAAGATTTCACGGCATCTCTGGACGGTGTCCTGGGGGGACTGGACACTGTGTCCCACCGTGCGGGGATCATCATAGATTTCATAATCGTTCCCTCCCTGCAGGGGAATAGAAAATTGGGAGAACATTAGCAGGGTCTTGACAGAGCATCCTCATCCATGAGTCTGCATCTTGCTCTGTCCTGGGAGGAGCTGGGGTGGAAGCCAGCAGCTGGGCAGGCAGGGAAGTGCTAGGAAGAGGATGAAAGGGCTTTGCTGGACCAGGGAGGCAGAAGAGGCTGGGCTGGAAGCCCTGCTCCCTCCCTCTTGCCTCCCCTCTTTGGTGCCAGGGGGGGAGCAGAAAGCATGGGAAAGGTCCTAGACCAGCAAAGCTTGTTCAGGAGCCTGGGGTTAACCCCTGCCAACTGTGGAGTTGATAGCAAAAGGTGGGGTTAGCCCATTTCAGGGGCAGAGGTTGCCATCATCTGGAAAGAGCTGAGTGGATGGCCAAGCTGGTCTGCAGCAGCAATGAAGCTTCATCCTCCACTGTTGTAAAGGAAAGGTGAGGCTGTTCCTACTGTTGAAAAGGCCTCTCCTAAGTGCTGGGGGCTCATGTTTTGGGTCCTGCTGGCCACAGAGTGGCTGCCCCAATACTGAGCATGCTGAGGGGAAGAAAGCAAGGCTGGGGTGGACCTGCTGCCCAGCACAGTGAATCCAGGGTGATTCCTCCATGGCTGTGATCATTAGCCCACCACACACGTGTGCTGCACAAGAGCATCTCCCCCCTTGGACCCAATGGAGGTCTGTGTCAGGACCTGTGACAGAGCAGCTCCATGCAGGAGAAAAAGTGATGGTGCCTGAGGTGAGGAGGGCATACTCACAGGAGTTGTCTCATTCCCAAAGAAGTGGATGGTGTCAAACCTCTCGTCATCCAGCACGTTCAGGCAGTAGCGCTTGTCCCAGCCCTCTGGGAAGACGTCAAAGCTGATCATGCCACCTGTCAGCAGAAGGGAGAGCATGGGGCAATGCTGGGGGGAGCCAGCAGGACGTTGCCCCACCACGGGAAACAGCAGAAGTGGGGAGAGGGCTGGACATGTGTGGGGAGCCCCCCTGCAAACAGCAGCCAGGCACCATCTCTGCCTTGGTGTGCCTCTCCAGCATCTGGCTAGGACAGTGGCAGATGCTGTTCCTATGACAACAGGCTGGAGTGACATCAGCAAAGCTGGAGTGACATCAGCACGGCTCCCCTGGCTGCAGGCAGGCGGGCAAGCAGGAACCAGAGGACTGCAGGGGGGGATGCTGGGGTTGGAGGACCTAAGAGTCTATTGGGGGAAGATCTGGGGTCACACCTGGCAGACAGCATCAGCATGTTGTGTGTCCCAACAGGGGACAATGCCCTCATGAGACTGAAATCACTCTCTCTCCCAGGCTCCTGCATGGACATTGCTGGCCCTTCTACAACCACTGCCCTGATTCTCCTTAACCCCACAGGGACTGGGACCTCCCAGCATGCTGCCCATGTAAAGCAAACCCCACACAGCTCAGGGGTCCCAGCTGGCCACACTGCAGGCCCTGAGCAGGCTCTGCATGCTGACCAAGGACCTCACCATGGAGGTAGCCATGAACTCATTGAGATGACTGAAGCACAACCCTGGCCTGTCACCTCTTACCACAAGGGTCAAGTGCAGGTTGCCAACGTCTAGAGGAGCACCAAGGCAGATGGGGCAGATGTACCTGCTCCCAGAGAGCAGGCATGTGCCTGCACACAGACACCTGCAGCCACCAAGGGTTAACCAGCTTCCCAGCCCTTGCCCTGGGTCCAGACAGAGTGGACCCCAGCACTGTGCTGCCTCTTGGGGTTGCATGGAGGCAGCACCTTCCCCGTCCTCTTGAGCTGCCCTGCTGTGTGCACAGGCTGCAGAGCCAGATCCTTGTCCCACCACTGTCACAGGTGACACACTGCTTTCAAAACAAAGCCAGCAGCTTAGGATATGTGTATGTTCAGGTGTAGCTCAGAGCCCAGAGCAACAGGGACTTGAGCTGGGATGTGCCTCTCTGGGCCAGACTAGGTCTCTGCTCCTCTTGGTTTCAAGGGGGCCTCCCTGCTTCTTCAGGCAATGTACTGGGCCACCAGAAATCCTGGAGCCTCACATGCTCCTTCAAAAACACAACCCCACCCCTCGTAGGAAGGGAATAAGTAGACAGGGGGGATGGTTCCTGCAGCAGAAAAGGCACCAATCCCCTGGCCTGTTCAAACATGTATGTCCTGATGCCACGCTTCTCTCTTCTCTGGCTGGTAGAGGTGTCCCCATTGGTTTGGGATTCTCAAACCAAAACAAGTGGAGCCTAAGGAGCCAGGGATGGAGCCTGTGTGTCCAGTTCAGGGCAAAGGATTCACTACTGGACAGGATGCCCCAGGCAGGGCACTGTGATACAGACAGGAGCAGCTGCCCTATGAGCTCAGGGATTGGGATGCCCCCAGGCTGACAGCAGGAGCTAAAAGTGGTTGCCTTCATTAAAATCCTCCTGGTTTTGTATCCAAAGCCATGTACCTGTGAAAAAATGCTGCATTTTGCTGTGTTCTGGCCTTTTAAACAGAGTCAGGAAGCAAGAAGGGGCTCCTGATGCCAGCTGGAGAGGGCAGGAAATGAAAGGGAGAAAAGGTTGTGTGGAGGGCAGCCAGCACTGTCCCTTGCCCAGGCAGAGCAGGTCTGGGGGGCTGCAGGGAGAATTCCTACCACCTCTGGGGCTTGTGTCCTCCACAGCCTAGGACAAGGCATGTGGAGCCAGCTTAGCACAACAGCCCCATTTCTGCGTGTCCCTGTTTTTGGATGCCTGACCTGAGACACTCCACGTTTTCTGTGGAGGAGCAGGGGGCCCACAGCTCCCCTTGTCTTTATTCTTTTATGCAATGGGCTCTTCATGGCGGCTTCCCAGAATCAGAGGAGAAAGACCCATTGTTCTGCTCTTGTCCCCTGTGCCTGCAAGGACACAGCAGTGGGGACATTGTCTTTCTCTGCTGTGACAAAGTGTGTGTCAGTGCTGTGGGCACCGCCGAATGCCCCTGGCACGATGCTGAAGGCAAGAGGAGGCCCTCAGGAGGAAAGCCCTTGGAGAATCAGAGAGCCAGACCATCAGAACTGGCCCATGCTGGGTGCAAGAGTGGAGCCACTTGCCACCTCCCAACCTTGTCACCCCCTTGCTCTTTGGCTGGGCTGCCACACAGCATCTTCTTATCTCACACATACCTTTCTGCTCTGTGGAGGGTCTTCTTCCAGCCTCAGCCCCACTACTTACATACCCTCTTCTTCCTCCCTTTCCTGGCCAGACCCCCAGGCTTGCTCAAGCCCATCCCTCAGTTCCTCATCTTCAGTAAGCTGGAAGTAAGAGTCACCCCAAGAAGCGGCCCTGCAAAAGCCCATGGCATGGAGCTGCAAGCTCCATGCATCTCTGCAGCTCCTCCTCCAGGAAGAAAGGTGTTTCCCTTGTAGTCAACTGTCCCAAAAAAACCCCAGAGTCCTGCCTCATTCCTTGAGAGGAGTGTGTGTGCCTGGAGCTCTGCTGGCCACTCAGTTGCTGATGCTTGAACCAGAAGAGACCACCTGGGCAGGGGGGCACTTGGCAGAACTAATCAAAATAGGGCAGGGATAACATCTTGGAACAGAAACGTGCCTGTCTGGCTGATTCTCTTGGAGGCAAATCTGCAGCATGGTTTATTGCCTGTTGTCACCCTGCCATGGACATGAATGAGTCCTCCAGGACCCCTTGTGCTCTTCCTGGGGTCTCCATGCCTCTAGACAGAAGAGCCAGAGATTCCCACTCCCCTTCCCAGCATTTTTTGGTATCATGGAAACATGGTAAAGTGGCTAAGACAAAGCCAGAGAAGCCCCCTCTGCTCACCTCGAGAGAAACGCAGGCCTTTGCCAGCAAACTCCCTCTGCAGTGCTGCCACAAACTTCTCCCGGATCCGCTCCTTCTGTGAGGGAGGAGAGGAAAGGGAAGAAAAGAGGGTTTGAAGAATGAGATGTTGACAGTCCACTGGAATCCACTGTAAGCAGTCTGCTGGGCAACTTTGGCTTATTGCTCTGTACCCTTCCCACCTCCTGCAGATTCCCAGAAGTCCAGCTCATAATCCAAAGTCTCCAGCTTTGCTTAAACAGTCTTGCAAAGTTGGACTGATCCCTTAATCCCAACAAAGCTCCCCTAGGCAGAAACTACTGTGAGCATGGGCCAAGCACTTCAGAGATCTGCCCAGCAGAGCCACCGTGGCCCTCTCAGTCTGGAAAGCCCATCAGTTCCAGCTCTGATGGGGTTGGGAGAGTGGAAGAGAGAGGACAGCTGCTGGGCCATCTTTAGTTGTTGAAAATGAGGAAACACCCAATTAAATAAGTGTGTTATTCCCTTGGGACTCTCCCACAGCATGTTTCTGACCCCCAGCCCTGTCTCCGCTGTGTTGTGCCCGTTGGTCTGGTTCACAGCTCGGATCCAGGCTCCTTTCTCCTCAGCGTGAAAGGGAAGCAGGTGAGGCCTGAGTTCTGCAGCGGTGCAAAACCAGCAAAAACGTGCAAACCAGGCAGAGTCTGGGCTGCCTACCTTGTCCAGCTCGGAGAACTCGATCCGCTCCTCGGGGGTGCAGCTGCGGCCGATGGGGGAGATGTTCAGCATCCCATTGCGGAACTCGATGAAGGTTCCTCTGGGGGGGGCAAAGGCACAAGGTTACTGGGGAAGGGAGAGAAAAACAGACCTTTCCAGGGGAATGGCTGCTCGGTGAGGCACGCAGTCTCTGCAGGGACGTCCAGGAGGAGGGAAGCCATGCCCACTCACGGGTGCTTCCCACCAGGCAGAGACCAGGCATCATCAACTCTGCTTAAGGTCTCCAAGGAGCTCATAGTTTTACAAAAAGAGACTGTAAGAGAAAAGGAATAAACAGTTCCTTTGCACCCTGGGGTCAGGTTGGAAGAAACTAGCTTAGGTAAGATGATAAGAAAGTTTTCCTAAGGTAATAACTGCAAGGACAGCTATTGTCTGGACTGGACCAACCTCCTGACAAGACTGAGGTGTCTCCTCCACCCTTGGAGGATTTTAAGAAGCAATGAAGTGGTTTGGGTGAAGCTGGCAGCACCTGGGGCAGTGGGATGGCACAGGTCAGTGTAATTCACTGCTGCTGCCCGGCAGCAGGCTGAGGAGCAATCAGGACCATCTCCTGGGACACAAATCAGGACCACCTTGTGAGACCCGCAGGGCACTTTTATCTCCTGTTTGTCCCCTGCACCTTTGACTGCAACTCCTTGTCTAAGTTTGCAGGGACAGGAACCAGTTCCTGCTTGCCACTCTCACCTTGCACAGGGATCTTTACTCTGCTGCTTCCTGAGGGGGCTGCTTCAAAGCACTAGGCCAGAGAAAACTGCTCCCTTCTTTCTCTTTGCTATAAACCCAGACAGTTCTGTTTGCTTATCATAGAATCATTAGGGTTGGAAGGGACCTTAAAGATCATCAAGTTTACCTCAATATCAATTATCACTCTGGAATAGCTCACAGAAGGGTCAGACAGGTACCAGCCCTAGTGGGGCAGAAACAAAACAGGGGATAGCAGCACTGCCAATTCAAAAATAGATTGAAGCTCTTGTGGAAACCTAGCTGGAGCAGGGAGACTCCCCTTCCATCTCCAGCTGAGGAGTCCTGAGCTCATGAACCCTCTCATGTCCCACTGTACCTCTCAGATAAAGTGCTCATCACTCTGAGTCTGGAGGAAAAACTCTCTACCTCCTGTTTCATAACACAGTGAAGAACATTACAGGGAATAGACACATGAGCAGCCATGCCTGCAGCATCTCTGCAGCACCAAGGGTTTGGTGGCTCACAGCCCAGGCCAAGATTCAGGGGATGTGGGTTAAAGTCCTTGCTTTGCTAGAAATGCCATAAGCTTAAATCCACAGAGGCACTTGGAAGCTGAAATCTTGCCAGGCTGTTGGGCAACCAGAGAGCAATGAGGCAACCAAACAGCCTTGAGGGTTGTGAGTCCCAGCCTATGCCTCTGGGGAAATGTTCAGCTGTCAGTCCACAGAGACACCCTGGCCCCTCTCACCAGCCCTCTCCTTGCCACATGGTGACTCACATCAGGCAACTATTCTGGATCACAGTTTAGCAACTTTCACCAGCTTAATTTTGACCAAACAGCTCACCTGCTCAGATTCATTGTGCAAACACAAGGGGTGAGCAGGAACAAACCAGCTGGGGCAAGGGGAGGGCCAAGCTGCTGCTGTCAACAGCAGAGCTGGATCACGCCAGCTTCAGGCATTTGTGAAACCAGTCTGAGGAATGGTTTGACACTGCACCAGACTGGTTTAAGTGCAGGCTGCCTCTAAAAGAGGTCCTCCTGCTCTTCCCTTCCACCTTCAAGCCATCTGTTCCCTTTCTCTCCTTTCAGGGCAAGCCAATCCAGTGGAAAACTACCCTTTCCTTTCCTGGCAGTGTCCTAGGCTTCCTCCAGAGGAGGTGTACCAACCCAGCTCACCCTGTGGCTGCTGGATCTCATGGCAGAAAGCAAATGTGAACACAGGGCCTGGGGCAGAGCAAGGACAACCCTATTACCAGTGATGCTGAGTGACACCGGCTTAGAAGCAGTGTGAAACTGTGTGCTCAGGCACTGGACTTTCCCACTTTAGAGCCATTGTTCATCTGTTTGGAAACTCATACAACCAATGATTCCTGATTCCCCGACCAGTAACGAGCTGGCACCATTGTTTTAAATGAGATGCAAACAGTGGCTGTACCCTGATTCCCAGGGAAGAAAATCCGAGGGGCAAAAAAGCAGAACAAAGACCCTCCTCCATTATTTGCCCACAGTGCCCAGCTCAGTGGGACATTAATCCTACACGGGATTAAGATAAAACCTGGAGCAAGCCAAGGTCAGTAGCTCAGCTATTCTTAGGAGGGATCTGGAGCCCAGAGCTCCCTAGAAATCAGGGATATGACTGACACTTGCAGGGGCTTGGGTCATTACCGTTTCTTGGGCAGCTTCAGCAGTGCCATGTAGTTGAGACAGAAGTTGATTAGATCTTGCAGCAGCTCTTCCCCTAAGTGGTCCTGAATGGCCTGTGGAAGAAGGGGGAGTGAGGAAGATGCCTGACCTCCTGTGGAGCCCACCTGAGAACATGACCTGGAGGAGAGGGACATTCAGATCTGGCACTTGGGGAGAAGAGGCTGCCCATGTGCCTGGGGCCAGGCACTGCTGCCCACAGCGTGCAGGGCACAGGGAAGGAGAGGCATGGCTGCACGGGAGCTGGACCTACCTGCTTGGAGACCAGCTGCCCGTTCTTGTATTGCACTGTGCCGTTCTCTGCGAAGACGTAGTCAAACTTATCAATGACTGAGGAGGGAGGAAGCAAAAGAGGACACATGAGTAGTGCCTGGGAAAAGGGGCCAAAGGGACTGGGCTCAGGACAGAGTGGTTCCTTGCTGCCCTGCTTTCCGTGTCTCCATGAAGAGCCACTGACCCTCCTTGCTCTTTACAAACTGGTCAAGAAGATTATCTCCTGCCCACAGGTGGGGAGGCGACGCGCGGGGAGGGGAAATGACCTGACCGAGGTCACGGGCTGAATCACTTGCAGGAGGAAGATAAGGCCTCCCAAATGTCAGGCTTTCAACCACGTGCGTGCTTCCCTGTTCTCTCTCCTCCGCCGGGGCCGTGCCGTTCCTGGTTACCTAACTGCAGCCCCTTCTGCAGCCCGGACACACAGCGCTGCCCGCTCAGCAAGCAGCTCCAGCCGGGAATATCTCGGCCTCTCTCCGCCACCGAGGCAGGAGGCAGATGCCAGCCGTGCTTGGCATCCACGCCGGAGAAGGAGAACACGGCGGGGGGGGCGCCCGCGCGCCCCCCC